TTGAGACAAGCAAAATTTTTTTTCCAAAGAGTATGAACGGACCCAAACAGACCTTACTGGACCTCAGTGGTTAGCACTGCTGCCTCACAGAGCCAGGGACCTGGGTTCGATTCTACCGTCTGGCAACTGTCTGTGTAGAGTTTGTCTGTTTTCTCCGGCTGCTCTGGTTTCCTCTCACAGTCCAAAGATGTGCAAGTTAGGGTGGATTGGCCGTGCTAAATTGCCCAGAGTATTCAGGGATGAACAGGCTAGGTCGGTTAGCCATGGGAAATGCCAGGTTACAGGGATAGGGTAGGCCGGTGAGTCTGGGCGGGGTGCTCTTTGGAAGGTCAGTGTGGAATTAATGGGCCAAATGGCCTGCTTCCACACTGTATGGATTCTATGTAAGTGCAGAGACAAATGGAGACAAAGAATAATAAGAGCAGAGGTAATGAAAATAAAAGTTTACACATACCGTAAGGTTTTTGATAATGTGAACTCATTCTCCAGTAGACTAGGCTACAACAAATTCCAGAGTTAAATGAATGTATTGCTTTTGGTCGTGAGATGATTGGTTAAATATCTTAGAGGGTAAAAGGGAGGTGTATCCTAAAAACCGAAAACATCTTTTGTCTGAAAAATAGCTGGACACGAGGTATTTGGATAAAGGCTTCCCAACCTGTATCGGAGTTGTCTAAACTCTGTAACTAGCAGCCTTGTACTCTCTGGCACCCACAGCACCAGGATGATTGACTTCCTGGGTTATCCTTTCTTCCTCTGTACATTACTTGACCCATGTTATTAGACAAAAACCCGATTTTATTTTTCCACACACTGAACTGTTCCCCTGAAGGTTTTAAAACTTTGTTAAAATGCATGCAAACAAAACACTCTGCAGCACCAAGCCCAAAACAACTATACCAAATGAAACACTTCCTCTTCTTAACAGACAAAATATAATTTAAACTGGCAGTTACATGTTGTTCTTAGTGTGATGATACTGTGGCTTTAAAAGGTATGCTTTGTCCTGGTTTCTTGTCCTGGATGAGGTGAGCTGCCGGGCAGTCTATGAGAATATAGACAATTTATGAGGCCTTGGGTATTTTGTTTTAAAAGTTGGAACAATAGAAGCAGCCTGAATGGGTATGGTGAAATTTCCACACAACCAGGATCTTTACTTCAGCTTTCAGCAGTTGCTGTTGGGGTCTTGAAGAGGTGGAAGCTATTTTTTTTTTGTCCTTCTCTTGGTTACAGCCAAAAGTTAGGGGTTTTCTGCTTGTTATGGGAGTTGCACGTAAGACAATCTGAGTTCTGAATTTGCCATTTGCCAAGGGTGTGTTTGTGGGATGTTACTATATTGGAGCAGTTAATTAGTCATAGTTACTGTATCTGTTAAGATCCCACTGGAGTTAAGTTATGTAGATAGGCCAACAAGAGGCGAGGCCACATTGGATTTGGTACTGGGTAATGAACCAGGCCAGGTGTTAGATTTGGAGGTAGGTGAGCACTTTGGTGATAGTGACCACAATTCAGTTACATTTACTTTAGCGATGGAAAGGGATAGGTATATACCGCAGGGCAAGAGTTATAGCTGGGGGAAAGGCAATTATGAGGCGATTAGGCAAGATTTAGGATGCATAGGATGGAGAAGGAAACTGCAGGGGCTGGGCACAATTGAAATGTGGAGCTTGTTCAAGGAACAGCTACTGCGTATCCTTGATAAGTATGTACCTGTCAGGCAGGGAGGAAGTGGTCGAGCGAGGGAACCGTGGTTTACTAAAGAAGTTGAATCTCTTGTCAAGAGGAAGAAGGAGGCTTATGTAGAGATGAGGCGTGAAGGCTCAGTTAGGGCGCTTGAGAGTTACAAGTTAGCCAGGAAGGACCTAAAGAGAGAGCTAAGAAGAGCCAGGAGGGGACATGAGAAGTCTTTAGCAGGTAGGATCAAGGAAAACCCTAAAGCTTTCTATAGGTATGTCAGGAATAAAAGAATGACTAGAGTAAGATTAGGGCCAGTCAAGGACAGTAGTGGGCAGTTGTGCATGGAGTCCGAAGAGATAGGAGAGGCGCTAAATGAATATTTTTCGTCAGTATTCACACAGGAAAAAGACAATGTTGTCGAGGAGAATACTGAGATACAGGCTATTAGACTAAACTGGATTGAAGTTCATAAGGAGGAGGTGTTAGCAATTCTGGAAAGTGTGAAAATAGATAAGTCCCCTGGGCCGGATGGGATTTATCCTAGGATTCTCTGGGAAGCTAGGGAGGAGATTGCAGGGTCTTTCGCTTTGATCTTTATGTCGTCATTGTCTACAGGAATAGTGCCAGAAGACTGGAGGATAGCAAATGTTGTCCCCTTGTTCAAGGAGGGGAGTAGAGACAACCTTGTAATTATAGACCAGTGAGCCTTACTTCGGTTGTGGGTAAAGTGTTGGAAAGGATTATAAGAGATAGGATTTATAATCATCTAGAAAGGAATAATTTGATTGGGGATAGTCAACATGGTTTTGTGAAGGGTAGGTCGTGCCTCACAAACCTTATTGAGTTCTTTGAGAAGTTAACCAAACAGGCGGATGAGGGTAAAGCGGTCGATGTGGTGTATATGGATTTCAGTAAAGCGTTTGATAAGGATCCCCACGGTAGGCTATTGCAGAAAATACGGAGGCGTGGGATCAGAAATTGACTAACTGTAAGAAGACAGAGGGTGGTGGTTGATGGGAAATGTTCATCCTGGAGTTCAGTTACTCGTGGTGTACCACAAGGATCTGTTTTGGGGCCACTGCTGTTTGTCATTTTTATAAACGACCTGGATGAGGGTGTAGAAGGATGGGTTAGTAAATTTGCGGATGACACTAAAGTCGGTGGAGTTGTGGATAGTGCAGAAGGATGTTGCAGGTTACAGAGGGACATAGATAAGCTGCAGAGCTGGGCTGAGAGGTGGCAAATGGAGTTTAATGCGGAAAAGTGTGAGGTGATTCACTTTGGAAGGAGTAACAGGAATAAAGAGTACTGGGCTAATGGTAAGATTCTTGGTAGTGTGGATGAGCAGAGAGATCTCCATGTGCATAGATCACTGAAAGTTGCCACCCAGGTTGATAGCGTTGTTAAGAAGGCGTACGGTGTGTTAGGTTTTATTGGTAGAGGGATTGAGTTTCGGAGCCATGAGGTCATGTCGCAGCTGTACAAAACTCTGGTGCAGCCGCACTTGGAGTATTGCGTACAGTTCTGGTCGCCGCATTATAGGAAGGATATTGAAGCATTGGAAAGGGTGTAGGGGTTGCCTGGTATGGAGGGAAGGTCTTATGAGGAAAGGCTGAGGGACTTGAGGCTGTTTTCGTTAGAGAGAAGAAGGTTAAGAGGTGACTTAATAGAGACATACAAGATGATCAGAGGATTAGATAGGGTGGACAGTGAGAGCCTTTTTCCTCGGATGGTGATGGCTAGCACGAGGGGACATAGCTTTAAATTGAGGGGTGATAGATATAGGACAGATGTCAGAGGTAGGTTCTTTACTCAGAGAGTAGTAAGGGTGTGGAATGCCCTGCCTGCAAAAATAGTAGACTCGCCAACTTTAAGGGCATTTAAATGGTCATTGGATAAACATATGGATGATAATGGAATAGTGTAGGTTAGATGGGCTTCAGATTGGTTTCACAGGTCGGCGCAACATCGAGGGCCGAAGGTCCTGTACTGCGCTGCAATGTTTATGTTCTAAGTTATTCCAATTCTGTCTTTCTTTTGTAATTTTTTAAACTAAGATGTTGGAAATAAATTATGTTTTGCATTAAATCCGGTAGTTTGATCAATCGAATTGCAACACCTCACATTTACCTTTAAAATAAGAAAACATTAGGAGCTAGGCTACCTCCTTAATATATTTTGACGTGGGGTTCTGGTCCATAACATTAGCACAATAGTATCTGCTATTTTGAAGAATGGGTGGGAGGGTGAAGTTGTTGGGATGTACAAGATTCTAAAGGATCTTGAGAGGTTATTTCCCCATGGCTGGGGAACCTAGAACACAGGGAGCTCAGGCTCAAGATAAGTGGCTGGTCATTGAGGGCTGGGATGAAATTTCTTTCAGGAGGCATTGAATTTTTGGAGTTTTTTTATCCCAGAGGGCTGTGGATGTTCCATCGGTGAATTGAATGGAATGGCTGTCTTGGAAACAGTCTTTACAGTCTGTGGAGATGACCATGGAAGTCGCCAGGCCACTGGGAGGACCTGTAATTGGCTGTGTAATGCCCACCATGCAAGGGCATGCACTGTCACACAGGAGACCCCATGAAAGAGGCACTGAATATTATTCCACTGGAGAAAGTTCCAGCACAGAGACAGATTCGGGTGTCCTTATGCACAAAGACTGCACACAGACCTCCAGAAGCGGCCTCACCCACATCCTGTACAATCTCAACATGATGTCCCAACTCCTACACTCAAAGGCCTCAGCGATGAAGGCCGGCGTGCGAGACGTCTTCTCAACCACCCTGTCTACTGGTGATGCCACTTTTGAAGAACAATGTACCTTGAGTGCGTGTAAGCCAGAGATAGACAGGTTCCTGATTAGCAAGGCTGATGGGGAGAAGGTGGGAGAATGGGGGATTCAAAAACATATTAGCCATGATTGAGTGGGAGGTGGGAAGAAGAAGAGTCAATGGGCCGAATGGCCTAATTGCGCTCCTTTATCTTATGGTTTTATGGGGTGGGGAGAACCACTCACCCAAGCAGCTCTCCATCATTGTCCTGGGTGCTGTTGACACCCTCCCTCTAGCTTCCTCCTGGTCACGTGGCTGGCTGGGTGGCAGCAGCCGCCCCGCCCACCTAGTGCGCAGGCGCAGCCCGCCCGGCCTGTGTGACGCGTCTCGGGGGCGAGGACGCTCGGTGACGCGGTGTGCGCGCACGCACGGCCCTGTGTGGGCGGGGATCGGAGCGGGCGGCGCACGCACGGCCCTGGGTGGGCGGGGACCAGGGCGGACGGCGCACGCGCGGCGAGGTGTATGGGTGGAGCGCGCCGGATCCGCCCAATTGTTGGGGGGTGCGCGCGCTCGTTTCCATGTCATTGGCGGCCAGCGCCGGCTGCGAGGGGGACGGAGGGAAAAGCATTGTCTGTCCCGGGAAAGAGAAGGGAGTCGTTCGCGAGTTGTTTTTTCTTCTTCACTGTGGCTTCCAAGGCATCGGGTAAGTGCATATGGCAGGGAGCCGGTGAGTTAATTTTTTTTCCACCCCTTCCTCACTTTCCATCATCTCCATTTTCGGGGTTATGGAGAGAGAGAAGCTGAAGCCGGTGGGCGGGACGGAGCCAGGCGGATGCGCGTCACCCATTGACAGGCATCCGCTCAGCAAATGGGCAGCGTGTCCGGCCCGTCACACCGACCGATTGACGGGCCCGCTGACCAATGGGTGGGGGGTTTGGGTAGGTGGGTCCTCTGTCGGGCAGGGGGGGTGGATGTTTCCGGTTGTGGGGTGGGGATGGAGGGAGATGGGAGGGGGGGAGTGATGACCGATGGCGGCTCTGGGCTTAGCCCTTGTGCGACCTCTAGGCCCCTGCTCCCCTGCTGCAAGGTCACCTTCCCCACTGCCCCACCCCCCTCATCTCCCTGAGGTTACCTCTCTCTCTTCTACCCACCTGTACCCCCAACCCTTCCCTAGTGATAAAAGCAGGAGGAGGCCATTCTGCCCTTCCATTTTCTACTCCGCCTCTTGCTCCAGCCTATTCCCATCTCCCGTCCCCCGCCCTTGAGAACAGGTCCTCGAGGTCTGAGCAACCCAATGACCTCCCGACCCAGCTTCAACTTGACAGAGGTAAGGTGGGAGGCCATTCAGCCTTTCCGACCTCCTACCCCAGTCTCCTCTTCTCTCACTCTTTCCCTCTCTCTTTCCCCTCCGCCACCAAAATGTGGGCCCTCGATTGATATGTCCCACGGCCTGGACAACCCACTGACACTTCCAGGTCTAGGTTCACCTTGACAAAGTCAGGAGGAGGCCACTCTGCCATTGCAGCTATGCCTGTCTGCAAATTGAGGGTCTTGAGACTCTTACTGAGCTTCCCAACTCGACTTCACCTCAAGAAAAGCAGGAGAGGCCACTCTACCCTCCTAGCCTGCTAATCCTCTACCAACTGACCATGCTGGGCCAGCTTCACTTCACTTAACCACAGACATTCAGTCGAGGACTGGGTGATTTATTAACCTCTCCCCAAACCTAGCTTCACTTTGACAGAAGCAGAAGGCTGCTTTGCCTTTCTAATCTGTTACCTGAGGGCATGGCCCAATGGCTGACTTACTGAACTTCCTAACTCAACTTAACCTTGAGAAAAGTAGGAAAGGACAATCTCTACCCTTCCACCACACTCACCTGCTACCTCTATTGAGACTGCCTGACCTGCTGAGGTCAACATGTTTTGTTTTTACCTCTTATTTTGAAACGGTTAGAGTCTCCCCATATGAGGGGAAACATCTACCCTGTCAAGTCCCCCTCAGGACCTTTTATGCCTCAGGAAGATAACCTCTGAGTCTGTGAATCTCCACTGGATAGAGGTCCACCCTGTCCAACTTTTTTGCATCAGATAACTTCCCTCTCCCCTTCCCAAGAAGTAGTGCAGTGAACCTTCTCTGAACTGCCTCTAACACAGCAGTACGTCCTTATTTAAAAAGCAGACCAAAACTGCACACTGTGCCAGGTGTGGCCTAAGCAGGACTCTGCCCAGCTGCAATAATCCATTTGCATTTGTGATGTGTCTGCATTCCATTTGCCTTTCTAATTGCCTGAAGCATTTCTGTACTAACCTTTTAATAAAAAGTAAAGAAGGGGGAAGAGGACAGCACCTAAACAAACCCTTGCCCCTTATAGGATGTTGTTTTTCCCTATTGTGTATTTACTGGTAAAACATGAAAAGCTTTTACATAATAATGATACTCTAAGGCACCTAATCCTAAGATTACACATCATGCTTATGTAAGTTTCATGGCAAAAATGTAGCTCATGGGGTTTTCCATGTTACACAATGGAGAGCACCTTAGACACTGATCTTAACCGTTTACGCTTTGCAACATGGAAGTTAGCCCATCAAGCCTCCTCCAGCATTCAGAATTGTGGCTGATTCTCTGTTTCAATGCTCCTTGATACCTTCAGCTTGGAGAAATTTCTATTTCTTTCTTCAATGTATTCTCCAACCCGGCTGACCCAGCCTTCTGTGGTAGACAATTGAACAGATTCACCAGCCTCTTGGTGAAGAAACCTCTCACTTCAGTCTGCAGTGACCTAACCTGTGTCCTGAGACTGTGACTCCTTGTTCTCGAGTACCATCCCACCACCACCTTATCAAGGGGAGTGTTAGCACAGAATTCAGTCGGTCCAGCCCAGTCTGAATTCTATACGTTTCACAAGATCCATTCCATCCATCGAAAGTCAAGTTAAGGCAGGCCCGGTCTCTCCTCGTGCGGCAAGCCGGCCCTCCCATAGATCAGTCAGGTGGTTCTGGTCTTTCGGAATGTCCCAGTCTGCAACGTTTGCTTGCGCCCAGCTCTTTGCTCTGAAAGACAAGCTCATTTCAGGCGAAGTCTGTGATCCTCCAGCAGCAGTGTTTGCAGATAGAGATGTGAGCAGCAGTTTCTTCCCCACCAGACCTGCCTCGAGGGCAGAGATGTAGAGGGGTTGAAGCTGGCAGCGATCCAGTGGTCAATGCCCTTCTTGGCACCAGCCTAGCTCTGTTTTGGCGCTAATCTGGGAGGTGAGGCCCTCTGCTGGGCGTCTTTAACAGTCGGCTGATCGGAGGGCCATCTGTCGGGATCCTCCATCGACTCCCACACATCCCTGATGTGAAATGCAGATCTCTGCCTGAGAGCTGTGCAGTTTTTCTGCATCTCATTAGAGGGGAATGCCAGAAGGAAAACTAAATTTGAGGCCCACAAGAGGCCTTTTGGCCCATCGAGTCTGTGCTGGCCCCAGAACGCTAATCCCATTTCCCAGCACTTGGCCTGCAGCCTTGTGTGTTATGACATGCCAAGTGCTCCTTCACATACCTTTGTTTTTAAAAGGTTGTGAGGTTTCCTGACTCAATTATCCTCCCAGGCAGTGCATTCCAGACCCTGTGGGTGAAAAAAAAAGTTCTTCAAATCCCTTCTAACCCTCCTGCCTTTCATTTTAAAATTATGGCCCTTGTTATTGACCTTTCATGTGAGAAAGCAACTGCTCCTCTTTCCACTCTGTCCAATCTTACACACCTCTATCAGGTTCCCCCCACCTCAGCCCTGTCTGCTCTAAAAGAAAACAACCCAATTTTATCCAGCCCCTCTTCACTGCTAAACTGCGTCATCCTAGGCAACATCCTGGTGAATCTCCCCTGCACCCCCTCCAGTACGATCCCATCCTTCGTATAGCGCGGAGACCAGAACTGTATGCGGTACTCCAGCTGTGGCCTAACGAAGCCAGCTCCAACATCACCTACCCCGTCTAATCATTTATGCCACAACTGGTAAAGGCAAGTGTTCTGTATTTTAACCACCTTGCTGCTTTAAGCAATCTGTGGACAAGCTCCCCAAGATCCCTCTGTTTCTCTGAACTTAATGTTTTATTTGGTTTGCCATTCTATCTGCTTGAAGCCTGACTTTCCAGCTCTCTTCTGCACTTGGACCTAATTGGCTGCTACAAGACTTTGAACCTCTGAGATGTGACAAGATTCTCAAAGCGTTGTGCGGGAGCACAATCTCTTAACCACACCAAGTAGCATTTGAAGGGGACAGTTTGTTTCTTGTACACAGTGTAAGAACAATTGGGCCGAGACTGGTGTGCTTACACTGGGTTGTGGGACTGTCTGGCTTGTCAGGAATGAGATTGCCCAATCTGACACAGGAATGTTTAAAGGCTCCACTGCAATGAATCACTTGAATCTCAAACTGCAGTTGTGACAAAAGCTCGTTGAAGAGCTCTCCTCCCCCATCCAAGGAGGTCACCTTTATAAAAAGGCATTGGGGCTGGATGTCTCCTAGGCAGCGGACATGAGTGCGGTTGTTTGTACCAGCTGTCCTGTGAGAGGCAGCTCTGGAAGAGAATTGCAGAAGGGTGAACGGTCGACGGGTCAGCCTCTGCTAGAGGCTCGGGCTTGGACGGACAAGTGAGCTGGAGCCAGAAGGGGGTGGACCTGGCTTGGACCTGGTTCTTTCACCCATTTGGCCTGTCACAACTTGAATTCAATGCTGAAACAAAAATCCGTTGAGGAATTGGACCCAAGCAAGAACGGGGTAGGGGCTTGAGTTGTACCGGCAAACGTTGTCTTCTGAGAGCAGTCTTTGTGACACATAAAGGTAGAAGCATAGGCATTGAGAGCCCACTGTGAATCTACCAGGGTTTCTACCTTGTCCATTCTCGGGAGTGCGACAACACGAGTGTCCGTCATCTTTTTAGCACCGGTTCACTGTGAGGGGGAAGCCTTCCTTAAATTGTTGTGTGGCATGTGCACGTCTCTAGCTGGGTCAGCATTTGTTACCCATCGCTAATTGACCTTGGGCCCCCTCAACTATTTCAAAGAGCAATTGAGAGTCGGCCACGTCACTGTGGGTCTGGAGTCCTATGGGACTGGACCGGGTAAAGATGACAGATTTCCTTCCCTGAAGGGAGATTATAATATTTAAAAGTCGTCCAGATGGATGAATGTGGGCAGGATGCTGGCAAATGGTACTTGTTTTATTTTAGATATCTGATCGGCATGGATCAGTTGGATCTAAAGGGTCTGTTGCCGTGCTGTACATTTCTCTAACTCTAGTCAACCCGATGGGCCTTTACGACGGTTGGTGATGGAGACTAGCTTTCCATTCCTGCTGTTTATGAATTGAATTTAAATGCTGCCGGATGTTGTGCCAGGGGTCTGAATGAACACTCGACATCTCACTTGGTGTCAACCCAGCCCTGAGGAGCCATTGCCTCTTTCCTCATCTTCAAAGTGGGTAGTGCACAGTCAGGAAGGAAAAGATCAGATCCTGCGAATTCATGAAGGAAGCCATCTCTAGGGTCATGACCTATCTACTTAGTGCTTGTATCGGTGTGCAAGTACCTACTGAGTGGGAATGCACGTTCCCAAACATTGAAACCAACTGGGCAAAACGTTAGTCCCGGCCCTGTATTCTCCAGGTAACTGGTAACATTGCAACCTACTTTTGTTCAATAACCCTGATAGTTTGACTTTGAAGGTTAAGCTATGCTGTCAAAGTATTTGTGCTGTATCCTGATCCATAATGAGTTGCCATGTGTGTTTTGTTGTGTGGTGAGGTGTGGCACATAATACAGTGGCTGTTGACAAGAATAAATTCTTTGGTAGTCTATCTTAATCCTGGTCTGAATAATGTGTTGCTGATTGCACATCAAAGTGGCAAAGATCAGTAAGATTAAGCCCTGTGTTACAGCACACTTAACTGCAATTTGATATTGTAGTGTGCTACCTGCATGCGGGGCCTTAGCGAGCAGTTTAAAGATTTCTTGAGTCTGCTCCATATCGATGGTTGAACCAAGTATTTCACGTGAACTGTTAGACATTGGACCATGATGTTCAGTGCCAGAGTGCTGTTTATCTTGGCCTCCGAGTGCAAAGCTCAGTAGTTAAAAGTGTGAACTTTTTAGTACTCTGGGGCTCAATGCAGACTCAAGCAAGGGTAATGTAGTAAAACTGCAATATGGAATCTTAACCATTGTCCCCTAACATTCAGTGACATTACATTAAGTGAATACCCTCCTATCCACATTCTGGGGTTACCGTCAACCAGAAACTGAACTGGACCAAGAGCAGGTCAGAGGCTGGGAATCCTGCAGCGAGTAACTCCCCTCCTGACTCACCACCCAAAGCCTGTCCCACCATTGACAAGACACAAGTCAGGAGTGTGATGGAGTACTCCCCACTTGCCCTGGATGGGGGCAGCTCTAACAACACTCGAGAAACTCAACACCATCCAGGACAGAGCAGCCCCCGCTCGATTGGCACCACATCCACTCCTTACACTTCCAACGCTTAGTAGCAGCAGTGTTTAACATCTACAAGATGCACTGCAGCAATTCGCCAAGACTTGAACAGCAGTTTCCAAACCCCACGACTGCTTCCATCCGGAAGGACAAGGACAGCAGATACATGGGAATACCACCCCCTGCAAATTCCCTTCCGAGCCGCTCACCATCCTGACTTGGAAATATATCGGCTGTTCCTTCAGTGTTGCTGGGTCAAAATCCTGGAACTCCCTCCCTAACGGCACCGTGTGGATGTCCCTACACCACTGCAGCGGTTCAAGAAGGCAGCTCAACCTCCATCTTCGGGGCAGTTGGGGCGAACAGGGCAATAAATGCTGGGCCTAGCCAGTGGCACCTATTTCCCATGAATGAATGAATTAAAAAAAACAAAGTTTTTTTAGTTTTTGGGAGAGTGGGCGGTGTGGGGCAGTTGCCGATCGATTTAAAAGCTGTTCCAAACTTTGTGAACCTCCCATGAGGTCTCGCAAGCTGGCACAGGGAGTCACAAAGTGCAGCCACCTCTCTTTGTTGGACCCTGGATGGTGGACTCCTGGGATTAGCGTGCGCTGTACCCTGTGGCGTTCACTGGCAGGCTGTGTAAATAGGGGAGCCTATCTGACCAGCTGTTGGCTTTGTGATCCAAGCCCTGGTTTGTTTGACACCTTTCCTTCTGGAATCGGTTGTGAACAAGGCATTTGGAATCTCTGCCTGCTGCACTCCCCTCAGCAAGGTTGGGAGTAGGGCCCAGTACCTATCGCAGTGGAACTGAAACTATTGACTTGCTGGGCCCAGTGCGCCATTGTTGTAGGCACTGTGTCGTCATAATTGTCACCCAGTGCAACTAGTAAACAGTTTGAGGAATGTTCTATGGGACTTCTCTTTTTGTGAATTGTCAGCGGCTTCTCTCTTTTTAAGCAAAGTGTATCTCCTTCTCCTCCTCCTTCGCCTCCCCAGCCCCCAGCCCCGCACTACTGGGTTCATGCTGGGAGATTACCATTCTCCAGCCTGTGCCTGCTGTACTTTGCCTAAGTGCCTGTTCTGGATGACCAGTCTGAGCTGTGACGGCGGACTCTGGCCTGAGGTCTCGGCCTCGCTCCATCCTTTGCATCTCCCAACCCCATGTCCTGAAGGACAGGATCTTCCTGTTCCCCGTCTGCGTGCCCTTTTCTGCTGATCCTAGCCAGCCTGATTCCAGCCTTGAGATTTGCCCCCTCCCTTCCCAAAATGCCGCCTGCTGAAACCTACTACTGCCCTCCGCCCTCCTGCAGTTACATTCGGACCATGCGGGAAAAGATTGTGCAAATATTGAGTACTTTGAGCTCACTGTTTTGTCTTTTCTTTCAGAGCGTTCTTAAACTCTTGTTGTCTTTATTTTTCTTTGTCTGACTGCATTGCTAACATTCCCCTCTTTTTCCTCTTTGTGTTTCATGACTTCCAGAAGAGCTGTGGTGAGATCAGGAGGTGACAACAAAAATGCATCGATTAAGGACTTGTGCTGCTAAGCTGAGGCCATTGACAGCCTCTCAGACTGCTAAAAAATTATCACACAATGGGCCAGCAGTGTCTAGGACGTTTCAGCAAGGCCGCTTCTATACGGCGCCTGTGGCAGCTGAGCCCTTTCTGAGTGGGACTAGTTCGAACTATGTTGAGGAAATGTACTTTGCGTGGCTTGAAAACCCACAGAGTGTTCATAAGGTAAGCCCCCGACTGCTCCTCTCACTCCGTGGCAACCCATAGAAAAGCTTTGCACTGCCAGGTAAGTGTTCAGGGAGGTTTGCAGCAACCTCGGAGAGAACAGGGGCACCTCGCTCACTTTGTTGTTCCAATTTTGCACAAGATGTCTGCCTTTGGAATGCTTTGCGAGAAGAGAGACCGTTGCTACAATCACTGTGGTGTCGGCGGAGTATAACCTGCAGCTTGCCCAAGATTTCAAGCAACTGGATCATTTTAACCTGGAGTTGTACGGCAAAGCTGGCTGCTTCCTGTTCTTTAAATGCGGGGGAGGCATCAAAGTTAAAAAGCCATTGGGGATCTCTTATCTATCAAAAGATGTTTTATGTAGCTACAGAAATCGACGTCTGATTCACATGTTCTGTATTTAGTTGTTTCTTGAAGCAAAAAAGTTTTTAAAACAAAGTACTTCAGTGCTGAGAGGAGATGCTTTGCAGAAATTGCATTTGTCAGGACACGTGCAAGAATACCAAATTTCAAACGATCACAATACTCTCATCAACACGTGCTCCACGTGACTTAAGAGCGAATTGCTCTCCTTTGCTTTCTCTGTGGCAACACCTCAGCCAATAAGTCAACTTGCTGACCAGTTGAAGCTCTTTTCCCCTGCAGTATAAATTGGCCTGACAATCTGAAATTTGCCACTCTTGCAAGTGTCCTGATGAGTGCAAGACAAAAATAAGCTTCAACAGCATGCCTCTTCAGCAAGGCATGAGTTCTGTTCTACAGAATGACCTTTAAAAATCTGTACTGAAGTGTCATGGGCAAAAGAGGGCATGTAAACATACTGGAATATAAAATCCAGAAGAATCGAAAGAGGTTTCTTAACAAGTAAGTACAAAACGAAATGGTGTGGGATTGATCGACCGATTAGAGACCAGAGTGTACCTTCGCGGGTGGCGGTAGAACCTGTTTCTTTACAAATACTTGTCTTGCTTGTGAAAGAGAGAGCTGATGCATACATTGCAGTTGAGGGGAAGTCTGATATATTTGATGGGAAAACCACTGCATCACAGAAGAGGCCATTCTGTCCACTGGGACCGGATCTTTTAGCTGTACAATCAGCTGAATCTCAGTTTTACTTGCTCTTGTCTGTGGGCTGTGTGGGTTAGGGCTTCTCAAGTGTGTACCCGAATAGTTCTTAAATATAGAGGAATTAATTCTTGAGAACGCCCCTGCTCCCTTGAGACAGCAAGTTCCAGATCTCCCACATCCTCTGTGTGTAAAATAGTCACAACTCTAACCTTTTGAATCTCTTCATCCTAAGTCTCTGCCCTCTGGTTAGTTATTCTATGCACAAGGAGATGAGTCCTTCCTCCCAAGTCTGTCTCAATGCATTGTTTTCCCCACTCCATTAACTCTCCCCTCAGCCTGCTCTGTGGGGGCGAAAGCCTATCCGATCTTTGCTCATGTTTAAATTTCTCCACAAAATCCTTAAATCTTTGCAATTGCATAAGGACATACATAAATCAAAACAGCAAGAGGCCATTGAGTCTGCCCTGCCATTCAAAAAAATTCCTGGCAGATCTAATTGTGGCCTTGTTTTCCTGTCTATCCTCCAGAACTCCCTTGTCGCTCAGAAGTCCGTCTCTCCCAATTCTGAATGTGTTCAAAGACACCGCCTCTGCTGTCTGGGAAGAGAATTCCTTCAGTATCAAACTTACTGAGAGGGAAAAAGAAAGCCCTCCTCGTGTCCAATAATTATTTCAAATCTCTGTCTCCCTAGTCCTAGATTCCCACATTCTCTTTCTTTCTCCATCCAGCCTGTCATTTCCCAACAGAATCTTATTTATTTGAATAAGGTCGCCTCTCATTCTTCTAAAATCTCAATGTGTGTAGGCTCAACTTGTTCAGCTATTCCTGATAAGACAAATCTCTTCAACCTGGGAAGCAGTCAACTGAACTTTCTCTGAACTGTGCCATTATGACTGTCATTTAAGGTGACGAAGTCCCTATAGATTACATTAGGTGTGGTTTCACCAATGTTATACACAGTTTGAGATTTCCCTGATTTTATGCACCATTGACCTCACAATAAAGACCTGCGATCCATTTGCCTTCCTGATAACTTGCTGTACCTGCATATTTTGTGATTCATGTACCAGACACCCAGATCCCTCTATACCATTGCATTTTGCAGTCTCTTCCGTTTTTTTCCCCTGTTCTTCCTGCCAAAGTGGCAACCTCACATCCCACCTTTCCTGATCTGCTACATTTTTCCCTTAGCCTTTCCTGATCTGCCACTCACTTAGCCTTTTCCATAACTCTTTCATCACACTTCTATCCTTCTCACAGCTTGTTTTTTTCAGTCAGCAAATTTGGTTACAGCACAGTGATCCTTCATCCAAATCGTTTAATGTAAGTTGTGGCCCCAGCACTGATCCATGCAAAGTTCCTTTTTTCTTTCCCATCCTGAAAGTCTCTTGACTCTGTGTCTCCTCTTAGTTATTCAATCTTCCATCCATCCTAGACTAGCTCCTACTTTGTGTAGAAGCCTTTTATGTGTCACATTTGGATCGCCAAATACATCACATCTCCTGGTTCCCCTTTATCCATCTGCCTGTTAGATTTCTCCTTTGCTGCTATCCTCATGTTTAAATCAGTGGAAAATTTTTATATTGGATAAATTTTAATTGGAAGTGAATTGAATTGTTTATTTGATCACGGAGCAAGTGAGCAAAGATGTGTATCCTAGGGCTCTTACAGTGCAAACGAAGAAAGTAATGACAATCAACCATCTAGCTAAGTGCCACATGACCAGTGGATCTCTAAACCACAAACAAAAAAATTGAATCCAGAATATTTGATACTGCTAAGCAGCCCGACAAAGCCTCTACCTATTGTGTTTTGTTTGTCAGCCTTATTTGAAATGGGATGACCTGATCAGATTAATTTAGCTGCCACTGATTTGCGTTACTTAATGAGAACAATTTGAGGTTTGGAAGGATCTGTTTCAGCAAGCACTGGGCCACTCTGCAAGCTGCTGAGTAACTTCAGAAGCGATGTGGATTTGAGCCCTGCTCGGGGACCCCAGTTGCTATAGGAAGGATGTTATTAAATTGGAAATGGTGCAAACAAAGATAGACAATGATGTTACTGAAACCGGAAGGTTTAAGTTACAAAGAAGGGCTGGGACTCATTTCCCCGGAGCGTAGGAGGCTGAGGGGTGACCTTATGGAATGTTACAAAATCATGAGGGGCATGGATAGGGTAAAAAGCCAAGGTCTGTTCCTCAGGGGAGTCCAAAACTAGAAAGCACAGGTTTAAGGTGAGGGAAAGATTTAAAAGGAACCTGAGTGGTAACATTTTCACACAGGGTGCTGTGTATGGAACGAGCTGCTAGGGGAATTGGTAGAGCCTGATACAACGTCATTTAAAAAACATTTGGACAGGTACATGAATAGGAAAAGATGAGAGGGATATGGGTCAAATGCGGGCAAATGGAACTAATTCAGTTTAGGAAATCTGGTTGACGTGGATGAGTTGAGCTGAAAGGCCTATTTCTCTTTCTGACTCGATATCAACCAGGCTGACACTTCAGTGCAGCACCATATTGCTAAACGATCACTGATCTGATTGATGCTAGCGTGATCTGTGCCCTTTGCAAATTGCTAGCTGACCCAGCAATGATGTTTACCTTCTCAGCCAATTCATTGGCTCTCAAGAGTGTCCCAGAAGTGTGAAACATGATACGCATAAAGGACAATGCAGAACGCAGCCATGCAGTCTGTCCCATCGAAATGCAAGTGTTGTTCAATTAGTCTCAATTGCCACTTTTTGTCTGTTACAGTCAGAAGAGCTTTTCTTTTCAAGTATGTAAGCAATTCCCTTTTCAAAGTTGTTACTCAATCTGCTTCCCCTGCCCTTTTGGATCACCACTTACTGTTTCCTTTCTCCTTCGAGTTTTAAAAAGAAACGGTTCAGAGCTGGCAAAAGTAGTTAGTTCCCTTACAGTCTGAACCAGGCGAAAGTGATGATGCAGAGCAAGGAAACGGCAGAGCAATTAAACAACTGCCTGACAAAAAGACACCTCATATTTTAAAAAGGATGGAGCGGGAAAACGGGGAATTACAGTCCTGCTGGCCTAATGCCAGTGGGAAAGAAAATGCTGGAGTCTATTATAAAGGATGCGATAACAAGACACTTAAAAACTAACACTAATGTTGCACAAAGTCAACACTGATTTATGGAAAGGAAATCATGTTAGACAAACCTTTTGGAGATTTTTTGAGGGCATTAACTCGTAGAATAGATAACAGAAAACCCAGTGGATGTGTTCCATTTGAATTTTTAGAAAGCTTTTGATAAAATTCCCTGAGAAGAAGTTGTAAGATTGAAGCGCATGGGAAGCATACTGGCATTGATTGAGAGTTGGTTAGCAGACAGGCAAGTTTTTTTCAGTAGAAGGCAGTGACCAATGGGTTACTGCAGGGATCTGTGCTTGGACCCCAGTTATTTGCAATGCATATTAATGATGTGAAAGAGGAAATCAAATGTGATATTTCCAAATTTGCAGATAACACAAAATTGAGAAATTGAGTACGGTGAGAGTGAAGAGGCTGCAAGCCTGCAATTTAGACAAGTTGAATCAATATGCAAATACATGGCAGATGTATTTATGTATATAAAGTGGATAAGTGTAATGTCGTTCACTGGGGAAAAAACAATGGCAGAGTATTATTTAAATGGTGATAGATTGAGAAATGTGGATGTATACAGAGACATGAGTGCCCTTTACCCAGTTGTTGAAAGAAAGCAGGCATATGGATTAATAAGTTAGGAAGGCACATGGTCTTTTGGCCTTCATTGTGAACGAATTTAGGTTCAAATGTAAGAATGTCTTGCTGCAGTTGTATAAAGCCTTGGTGAGACCGTGCCTCTAGTATTGCATGCAGTTTTGGTCTCCTTACCAAAGAGAGAATATACATGGCCTAGAGACAGTGCAAGGGACGTTCACAGGGCTT